CTTTTACTGTCTTATGTGACATCTTACCAAAGACTTTCTGAAGGTCAACATATAGTACATCCATTTTCTTCAAAGAATTCAGTAAGTTCAATTCACTATGAAATTTCTTTTGAAAATCTGTGCTGGCTATGTTTAATTCTATTCTCTGGCTCTATACTTTTGTTATCTTTTCATTTGAATTCAATTATCTTCCCTCGCACTAATGTTAGTTAATCCAACTGTTTCATCATGAATTACATGTATGTCTCTTTTTGAAATCAAAAAATATATTTACAGTTTGCAGACCTTTGATAATAGTTCTTTTTCTTGTCAATACCATATGCCAGATAATATTTCAGAAAGAGCTACAGTCTTTGAGAGAGAGTTTTAATGTGATTTAAAATGCATAATTGTATTCAGTAGGAACACAATAATTAAAGAATTCCTTTTGTAACTGAATTTTTAAAAATAGATTGTTTAAGCCTCAACTTTCCACAGACTTGTTTTAAGTTTGATTTTAATAAACATATGGCTCTTCTATCGCACAAATATGATTCTTGAAATGTTTCATATAATAACAGTTCAACCACCCACACTCAGAATGTGGGAAGTACTATTTCCTGTGGGAGCAGGGTTTTCAGTGGAGCAGAACCAGTGCTGAGAGTGACGTAAAACTAACATTTAGCAAAAGCTGGGGCATAGCAGGGAGTAGTTTTACCAAACAGGATCTGAGTAAGATTTTACTTGCAGAGTGTGGAACAACAGGTAACAAGGGGATTTTGCTCAAGACAGAAGTGGTTTTGAGCAAGTTGCAGCAAGCTAAGTGATATGGGAAAAGTCCTGGCGAAATCAAGATGTTATATTCAGAACTGGGATTTCTTACTGATAATGGCCTGTCAGATGTTAGCCTAAACTGTGAACATGCTAGCGTTTTGAGATTTCAGTGCTTTTAAATTAGCTCTTTGGGGAAATAACGAGGGGAAGAAAACAGAACAGCCATAAACATGTTGGGCGGAATGCTCTATTTCCAAACTGTAACAGACTATGACTTGAATCCAAAGTGAAAATAATAATTAAAATTTTCAGCTGCCTTCCTATTTTCCTATTATTATGTCTAAATTCCAGTTATAATAAAGTTGGGGGAATTACGTGAAACTGAAATCAAGCCAACTTTGCCACAGTAATATTTTAATTGTTTGTTGTGATCTGACATTTTGTATTTATGCAGTCTGAGCGGAGGAGTGTTCCACAAGCAGCCCATACAAGCCACTGGGTTCTGAGGGCCACCATTCATCATGTGAATTTACACAGGACCCACCTCAAATTGGTTCCTCTTCCCTGACCCAGCTGGCCCTATATGAGCAGTCCCCTCCCATTCTTGATCGAACTTCACTTTTGGCCCTCCTGATTACCTTCCCCTTTAAAAACTTACCTTGAACCCAGCAGCTCTTTGCAGTTGCCTGAGCATGTGTGGTAGTGTCCAGATCTCACCAAAATCATTGACATTATGCATAAAGTACAATATCGAGGGCATTTTGTGCCTATGTGCTGAGCTGCAGGGATTGATCCCTGCCTTTAGGCTGCTGTCAATGTACAAGACAGCAGAACCCTTTAATTCTTTCATAGGATTTGTGCATTGTTGGGTAGTTTAGCATTTGTTGTTCATTCTTAGATGCCCTGAAGAAGTTGGTGTAAGGGCTATATTTTTGAACCATGGTCCTTGTGGTGTAGGTACATCCAAGAGTTAATAGAGTTAGTGTTCCCAAGATTTGACCCAGTGACACTGCAGGATCTGTGATCTGTCCAATTCCTATCCGCCTGCTGGTAAAATTCCCCAGTGGAGGAAGGTGGTGGAAGAAACCATCTGACTGGGCCCAGAGATATGGAGAGGGAGGCAGAGATTCAGTATGATCATGAGAAGATTACTCCCTGACTACAACCAAGACCTCCCTCCTGGGCTTGTGAAATTTAACTAATTGTGGGATCAGAACTGGACAGCCAAAGAAGATGGAAAGCCACTGATGAATGGAAACACCCTAATAAGGGCCATTTAAGCAGACATTTTGCCAAGACTGGATATAGTTTCACATTGATTGAGGAAGGTGTCAGCTACAAGGAAGCAACCATTGAGCCGCAGAATGGGGGAGTGTAAATGTTTGATGAGGGGTGTGCAGATATTATGAAGGTAAGAGAGAAGGGTCTAGCAGGGATTGGCAGCCCCTCAGATGCAGTGATTTCCACAAAAGGCTGTTCCATCCAGCGTATTGTTCAGTATTTTTTTTAAAAAAAGGGTTTTGTTTCCCTACCTGCAGAAGACAGCAGGATTCCAGCCTTCCTCTGGAATGGCTACTATTGCTTGTGAGGTGCCAGCCCGCTGATTGACCTTGGAGGCAGGAGGACATTGTAAGTAGGATGGCATCCACCATTAAAACTCAGTGGGTCACAGTTCATTCATGCTGACAACATGCATTTCTTCCTGAAGTTGTGTTATCCACCCAATCAGAGGAACTGTGCTCATAGTTTCAAGTCAGGACGGTGTGTGATTTAGAGGGTCACTTGTTGTTGGTGCTGCTCCAATGCATCTGCTAGCCTTGTCCTTTCAGCTGTTAAATCACAGCTTTGGAAGGTGCTGTCAAAGGAGACTTGGTGTGTTGCTGCAGTGCATCTTGTAGGTGGTACATTCTGCCACTGTGTGTGAACAGTGCAGGGAGTGAAAATTTAAGATGGTTTTTTGGGGAAGCGAATCACATGGGCTGCTTTATCTGGGGTGCTGCCAAGTGTTAGTCTTGGAATAAATCATGGCTAGTGCTGCAAGATGAGAGATATTATTTTGTATTTCCTTGAGTGGATAATTTAAAACTGTCCATAACTCAGATTTATACTAAACAAACCTACAAATGTAGTAAAGATCTGTTGTTTCTCCCGTTAATATTCTGCTTAATCCTGACACTTCAGCCTGCACTGCACTGTTGCTGACGCTGAGGGATCTGGAGATAGAGCCCTCACAAGCATCTATCTACAGTGAGGAGAGACATGTGGTTGCTGTAGTATTTGCTACTAATAACCAATTTCAGTGCTTTTTCAGAGAAAGAAACATAGAAAATAGGAACAGGGCCCTTCAAGTCTGCTTCACCATGGCTGTTTATCCAACTCAGTACCCTCTTCCTACTTTCTCCCCATACCCTTTGATCCTTTAGTCCTAAGTATTTCCCTCCCTCCTTCTTGCAAACATTCAAACTTGTGGCCTCAACTGCTTTCAGTGGCAGTAAATTCCACAGGTTCACCATTCTGTAGATAAAGACATTTCTTCTCATCTCAGTCCTAAATGGCCCACCCCATACCCTTAGACTGTCACCTCTTGTTCTGAACTCCCCAGTCATCAGAAACATCCTTCCCGTGTTTACCCTGTTTAGTTCTGTTGGAATTTTATTTTCTAATCTCCAGTGAATGTAGTTCTAACCAATCCAGTCTCTCTTCATACGTCAGTACTACTCATCCAGGAATTAGTGTCTTCATTCATTAGATGCTGAAAGCAATCCATGTCATGACAGGACTAGCCAATCAATTTTCACTCACTCATACTCTCCGTCATCACCTATCTAGCTTCCCCTTTTCCCTGGCTTACTATCAACAATCCTGTTGTCTGCCTAATCTTCTTTTTCTCTCTCTCTCTGGTCTCCCTCTCCAACCATCCGCTCACTCCTTCCACTCCAGTTCCTCCAGCACCCCTCATCAGCATAAATACCATCTTTTCCAAGCTGCTACCAGTTCTGAAGAAAGGTCACTGGACCCGAAACGTTAACTCTGCATTCTCTCCACAGATGCTGTCAGACCTGCTGACTGTCTCCAGCAATTTCTGTTTTTGTTTGTATCATAGGATAACTGGTGGCTGAGAATACATAGCCTGCCAGTGAATTGGCACCTTAGGGGTGGGAGGAGAAAAGAGGCATTTGCCAAGTAAAGTTGGCAACAATGTAATATCATTAGGAACCAAGGCCTCGAGTCACAAAGAGATATATTTTCCTCCAGCTGCTGATGTGACTATAAAGTTGGTGGCAGTGGGAAGGGTAGAAACTGGACTTGTAATTACTTGGAGCTTTTCAGTAACGTTAGTGACCAGAAATCCTGAAAGCACGAGGGCTAAGAAATTAACTTTGCATTGGACACTGGTGCAAATGCACAGCATGGTCTAAAGTGGGCCGTCAAAAGTGTGAGACAGCAAGGTGCAGGGCTGGATGAACACAGCAGGCCAAGCAGCATCATAGGAGCAGAAAGGCTGACGTTTCGGGCCTAGATTGCGTCAAAAGTGTGATTTCAGTTGTGTCTGTGCTGACCTTCAGGGACTAGCTGTGACGCTAGTCAGCCAAACCTGACATAACTGGTCAGTCAGATTCCTGGAAAATCCTGTCAGCTTCTGTGCAAGGCTACCCATCTCCAGGTGGGATGGAAGATGAAGAGGAAAAGACTAAGTACAGGCTGGCAGCAGCCCATAGGGCTCCTGTTTCTCCTGCCTCTATATTGAATCCAGCAGTTCATCTTAAACATCAGGAATAAAAAGTGCAGAATGCATTTGGCAGCTGGCCCATTTGATGAAGAGAGATTTCATCCAGAAATTACTTCTGTCTCTCTTATTTTTTCTGCCCCCTGAAAATAGTGCAAATGGAACCAGATGCTCAGTGTTCTTTTTTCTGAAATGCATATAACCCAAAATCTTGCGACTGCAAAATCCTAGATTTAAAATGCCTAAAATTTAGCGAATATTACAGCAAAATCATTGCTGCTGATTGAACTTGAACTTGATACTTTCAGCGTTTCATCACACTGTTAGCTGTTAACATTCAATCAGCTACCTCTCCACAGAATGAAATTCCCAGCAGAGAGAGGGAACTGAGATCATGACAAAGTGAACTTTCTCAGAGAATTTTCCTAATTAATAACATTTCAAATCACCCAAGTGGATTTTCATCCGCGGTACTGTAATTAAAGTACAATTGACTTCATATGTTTGTTTCCTTATCCAGCAGAACCGTCCCTGGCTGATGCACCCAAACCTACAGATCAGCATTTTCAGTCCCAAAAGCCAAAGCCGCCAGAGGAGACACATGATCGAAGACAGCAACTAAATATGGTAATAGGATGATTAGTCTAAACCTTTTTAGGTTGAATATCTTTAGCTGCTTTTGCGTTTTGTACCAGTAGCTGTTGTCATTACTGCTGCAAAAGGCATTTTGTGTAAACGACTTATTCTGTGCTATCTCAGTGTTGAAGAATGAACAGATTGCACAGTATTCCTTGAACTACATTATTCAGGATAAATGAAAATTCATGGAATATGGTGACTTCTTTGTAATTCTCCATCTCAAACAACCCAATATTTTGTGAGGTTCTCTGCTGCTATGCATCATATTTTTAATATTCTATTGATTTATCAGGTGACATGGGAAATGTGTGGCAGCAATACAAAAGTGCTTTTTTTAAAAAAATCACATCCTGCAAGGTAAAAGATATTAGCTATATTGCCAATGATTACAGGCAGTGATCCCAACTTTAAAGTTTCAATGACCCTCCTTGGTTTCCAACAATTTAAATGAGACCAGATGCTCAGTACCTTTGATGCTGCTACTTTGAACAGCCAGCTAGACAACAACAAGAAAACAATGGGATCTTTCCTTCGATATTCAAATCAGACCAAATTCAGTCAGTCATATCTGCTAGGAGCCAAATCAAAGGCCAAAAGTTTTAAATAATTTAGAGTTTTAAAACTTCCACTTTAAATTTCACGAGTGCCATGTCTTACTCCCAACCTGAACTTATACCCAACAAATCACCAACTACGCAACTTTCCTTATTAAGGCAAAAAGTAAGAGACATTTGCAATGATTAATTTTGGAAATGAGCACATTGGACAAATGCATTAAAACATTGGAATCAATTCTCAGAGGAGAATCCTTGCACATTTGGATGTGTGTCACTAGATACTGATGGTTTTTACTAGACAGATATGGTTGTCACTGGGATCTTTTCGGATACAATGTATTCAGCCAACAAAGAGAGGCAATCTTTCAGAAACCTTTTAGGCAGTATAGCTGCTTTGACTTTTCAGCTTTCACAAAAGGAATCCACAAGAGGATTTCTATGGTAGATGACAAAGTTGGCAGGTTGAGTTGGCAGTGTTATCACTTCATAGGTTACATCCCAACTGAACTGCAAAATCGTACCAAATAGCCACACACCTAACAGCCATAAAGTCAGTCATGTGACTTCCAGTAAGTCCCTGCAGTTAACTGAAGCCACGTAGCTTCCAGTAGCAATCAGGTTGTCATGTGACTTTCAGAAATAGTCTTTAAACAAAGTGTCCCAAAGTGTCCTTTCAGTAACTGTTTTTTTAGAAAAGTCACTGGAAGGACACTTTGGGTCACTTTGTCAAGGAATATCCTCAAATTTCAAATGAATCAAGATTTACAATCTTCTAGTTTTAAGTCTTCAAAAACTTTCATAACGCAAATACCATCATAACAACATAAAATACAATTTGTTGATGTTGAAGCCCAATCTTCCTGAGATTGGACTTTGGTGAGTTGCAGCCAGGAATAATTCCATCAGGTCCCGCGTTTTGGTCTTTTGTTATCAAATTCCTATTTCCACCCATTGACCATGTAGTGAAATTAACCAGATACAAGCAGGAGTCTGGTGAAATCTTCTTAAGTGAGATCACAACACTAAGATTTGACAAATTGGTACAACACTCTGAGGGCACTGCACTCAGGTCTCAAAGATACTTCTCGAAAATCTGGGAGTTTGAGATTCCAGTGAAGTTCATATTGCCATAGGAATTCCAAGCTTGGAATCCTGTTTTACAATACAGTCCCAAACACCAGAGAATTCCATATAGTCCTGTTTTCACTTAAGCTTGATAATTTTCTGTACTGTGCAATGAGGAAACAATTAAATGAATGCAATTGTGGCAACTTTTTTGGCTTTTGCTTCCCTCCTGTGAGCAATCCAGCTTCACAACCTATAAACATACCACTCGATGATGTAATCTGTTAATCCAAAGACACACTGATTCATTTATGGCAGAAGTGTCCAAGAATGTTCTATGTACAGCACATAGACATACACCAATGGAGATTCAATGGAGCCACAGTTTATTTCTTATATGAATATATTTCAAGTTGCTAATGCCGTTAGATCTTACTGTTCCAATGGAAGATATATCTACCAAAATCAGCATCCCTAAAAACAGATATTTCAAGCTTCCAGTCAATGGAATAAGAAACATAAGTTCAGATATGATTCAATTATCCATGACTAATAAGCTGCATTGTTAGTTTAGAAGCTGTCAGTCACACATCGGATAAAGGAGTTATTACACTTGGATTCTCAATCAAATAATTCAAGGATTCATTCTCAATAATTATTCAAGGTGTCAACTAGGAAGACTATTGCAGCTTTTTCAGTTGAAGGTCAATTTAAAGTGGAGGTATGGGAGAACCATTAAAGCGGTAACTTGAAAATTAACAAATCAAACATGATTTACTGTAAGTGGTGTCCATAACTATTATAGTATAATATAAAGCAGGTTTTAATTATTATGCACTTCTTTGATATTCAAGAAAAAAAAGTGACAATACAGAAGACTAAGTAATGCACAGCATTATAATTACCCAGAGTACTGTGATTCCTCCAGTTCTGAATGACCACAAACAAAAATAAGAAGGATAAAAAGTGATAGGTTGTTGTACCTAATTTGTCAGGGGTAAAAAGAGGGGCAAATCACACTAATTTAGCACTGCACTGTCTTCATTAAATCTACTGCCATTTTTCTCAGTTGTAGACCTTCACTCAGATTTCCCAGGTCAATTTTATTCTTCCTAAATATTTATAAATCTATTGCATGACAAAGGGGCCCTTGAAGCAAATAGCTGAAAATAAGTGCGGCAGGTGCCAGGCCAGTTCAGCTGAGGATTCTCCAGCAATATTGCCCTACTCCCACAACTGCCAATGCCGCATAAGTACAATACCAGCCTATTGAGTAAGAGGGGACAGCTCCTTGTCTTCTTGGCCATTCCAGTCCCCCATCTCATGAATTGCCCAAGATTCTCTGCCAGTGGGGCTGGATGCCCAGCATCGATGTCTTTGCTCAGAAGGTTTATCATAATGACTGGCCATTATTGCTTCACTTGGTTCAGACAAGTTTTGATGATGTATCACCAATCCAGATTAATTTCTAGACCAAGATCATCAGACATTTTCTATATTAAAGAGGTTATCTTTTGTCTTTGAATTTTATTCTTCCAGGAACTGACTGTAAGAGCGAAGTATGACTTCCATGGCCACACGTCAAAGTGAGTTTCAATAATCTTTTATTAATTAAAGAATTTCAGACATACTGTTTACATGTATTAATGTGTATGTGTGCCTGTAGAGAATGAAACAAACTTCTCTTCCAGTAAATATTCAACAAGGTTTTTGTACAAGTAGCTGACATTGTGTCAAAAATTACTTTAAGGTTTCTTTCTTTACTATTTCCTTCTTCAGCTTTTCACCTACAGGTATTCAAATCAATACAATTATATGATCATTGTTATTGGCATTGGAATCTGCACTTGGAAGGGTCTATAAAGCAGTGGGATTGGATTGGGATGAAGGTGAGCAGGGGCACTTTTCAACAGAGCCCCGCTTCTCAATATTAGGTCCCTTGATCAGGAAGTTAGAGCCTTTGAACTTGGATGATTGGGACAAATTAAGTGAATGGGCACATGCACGGCAGATGAAGTATAATGTGGATAAATGGGAGCTTACCTACTTCGTTAGCAAAAGGAAAGGCAAATTATTACCTGATGACAATACATTGGGGCAGGGGGAGGTGCAATGAGGCCTGGGTGTCCTTGTATACCAACAGCTGAAAGTAAGCATGTAGGTGCAGCAGGTAGTGAAGAAAGCTAGTGGCATATTGGCCTTCATGGCGAGAGGATTTGAGTACAGGAGTAGGGATACCTTGTTACAGCTGCGGCCTTGGTGAGACCACATCCGAAGCATTGTGTGCAGCTTTGGTCTTCTTTATATGAGGAAAGATGTTTTGGCTCTGGAGAGAGTGCACAAAGATTTATCAGACTGATTCCTGGGATGGCCAGACTGACATATGAAGAAAGATTGGATTGGTTAGGACTTTATTCATTGGCATTTAGAAGAATGAGGCATTATCTCACAGAAACCTATAGAATTCTAACAGGATTAGACAGAGTAAATGCATGAAGGATGCTCCCAGTGAATGGGGAGTTCAGACTGGCATCACTGTCTAAACATGCAGGGTAGGACACTTAGGACTGGGATGAGGAGAAATTTTTTCAACCACAGAATGGTGAGCCTGTGGAATTTACTGCCACAGAAAGTGGTTGAGGCCAAAACATTGAATGCTTTCAAGAATTAGAAAGATATAGTTCCTAGGACTAAGGGGTCAAATATTATGGGACATTTGCTGGAACAGGGTACTAATTTGGATGATCAGCCTTGATCAAATTTAATGCGGAACAGGCTTGAAGATCAAATGGCCCTTTTTTAATGTTTGAATGGAAACACCACTCACCTCTGGAACCTGTAAGAAAGCATTCCAGTGTTTGCTTATCTTGTTCCCCATATGGTAAACCTCTCCTGCCTGCCACTGAGTTAATACCAGTGGCTGCAGGATGCCACCCTGGACTTGGCATTAATTGGCTATGTAAAGACCTGAATTGGCAGTGGGAGAGGAAGGCTGGTTACAGACCTTCCCACCATGGACTTAGAGTGGAGGTGGGAGGTGCCAGGTCCCCATCTGCCACCCTCCTTCCCTGTTAAATGCTTCTCCAGATAAACATAAAACACAAAGTTCCACCATTCTCCATCAATAGCTGCCCTGAGCAGGTATTGGTGGGTCTTTGCTTTGAACTGCTACAGTCCTTGTGCTGGCAATCCCCATAACAGTGGTCAGTAGAAATCAATAAATCGGTTGCCTGATATTGCGATGAGTCTGCTCCTGTTAAATCAGTATTACTCAGTGGGTAAGCCAACTGCTTAAATCCAAAACCCAGGCTGATGCAATATCTTGGGATCGAGTCCATTCCTTTAAGAGATTAAAAAAGAATACTTGAAAGAGGATGGACAATATGAGAAATAAAATCAGCTCTGAAATTTATTTTGGCGCGAATTTTGGATTTTAAATGTTCATCAGCAGTGATTAATATATCATAAATATATCACTAATATATTATAAACCTTATAAAAATTTGAAAAAAGAATGATTTAATTTAGTGATAAAGCTGCTGGAATGCATCTGTTAGTAACTAAGTGCTGTTTGTTTAGTACCTTGATTGTTTTATCCCTTGAGGACAGGGTAGCTAGCTGAATGGGTGGGCTAGATATAAAATTACAGCAGACGATTGGCTATTGCCTTTCCTTCCCTGTGGATATTTTACCATTGGTGAAAGAGATGCCTGGCAGCTTGCCTAACCATGGTCAAATTGAGACCTAAGTTACCAGTCAATGGTCTCCTCCTGCCGTGGGAGTTTTCTTTTTCCCACAGGTGGGGAAACTTAATGTCAAGTGTCAGGCTTACCAGGTTTCACCTGGTGGCACTGTTGTTTGGCAAGGGCGTGCCTGCTGTTCATGAATTCTGTGCCCATTGGTTGTTGTCCTCAATACTCAGCCATCACATTTTCCCTTCATCCCTACCCTAGTGATCCTAACATCTCCACCCCTGCACCCCCTCCTTCCTTGCCAGAAGCTGCCACCCTGATTTAAAGGCCCTGATGTGTGGCATCTCCTATTCAGGCTCCCTGTAAACACCACTTCTGGTGACACAGCTTGAAGAAGAGAACTGCTGGTAATTTAATTAGTCAGCTCCTTGCAGACGCAGGACTACTTCTCAGTAAGAGACAAAAGCCCCACCCCAAGCCAATAAATGAGCAGAGGGCCATAAAGTGGCATAGGTGGGGATGTATGAAGCTGTTGGGCTAGCCAAAGAGAGGTTTGCTGCTGAATTTTACACCAGTGTGGGGATCTCATGCTACTGTCAAATTGGCAGCTAGAGCATCCACTCTACAATCCCTCAACAAGTTCATGCAAAACCATCATATCCATTTAGGAGAAAACAGAATTAAGCCTAAAGCAAATGTTGCAAGCATTCTTCTGTTTTATCTGTGTTGACATGGCTGAACAATGAGGTCACTAAAACCAAATAGAAACAATGAAAGACCAGAGACAAAGACTGCACTTTTATGTAGAAATGATGGCTCCATGCAACAGACAGAAGTCAAGGGCAAGCCCTGCTCTACTGTCCTTGCAATTCAAACCAAATTTTACATTATTCAGGCATTTAGTTGTTTTTAGAGCAAGGCTGTGGACCAGTTGAGAAAGAATGTCCAGGCTCCAAAATCTGCCAGTCGATTAGACATTCAGTAGCTCTTCAGTCCCAGCACCACCTCTGGAAGTTGTGAACACTACTTGGATTGCAGAAAGCCTCAAATGACTAACCGTCGAGGAAACGTGGAGAATAGGAGTGGATTTTGGGGCTCACTGGGGTCATTGAGGCATATTCAGGCAAGGATGGGCAGATGATCATGAGGTTGTGAAGGGATCTTCTAGGAAGGTCAGCTCATACCCCTCCATGGGTCGTACCCCAATGTCTGATCAGGAGTTACCCCCAAACAGGTCCGTAGGGATGCTGTCTGGTTTTACTGGGTGTCCTCCCCAGCTGACCAACCAATGGTAAAGTGCCAGCAACAGAGGAAAGAGGCCCTTAAATGACAAATAATTAGTTGCATCAGGGATTCAATTAGACTCAAGATAGGCAGGCCAACTCATCACATTCCTCATCACTGGTAAAATACTAATGAATGTGGACATTCATAGATATATGCATATCAATAAAGCGAGATGATATGTTAATGAGGCTGTTAATACATGCCAATACTAATACATACAAATGGGCCTCTCACTGCTCGCTAGCAAAAATCTTGTCTCACTGTTCAACACTTGGTTGGAAAACGGACCATTTTGCTCTCAATGTCAGGAATCTCCTTACTGCCTAACTTTCTCACCAATGCCCATTTTGTTCAGCAACTGGGGTAACTCAACACAAAGTATATAAAACATTTGGTTATTAAATTTCACCTGCACTGTCATAATCGAGGTAATATTTTAATTGACTCAAAAAAGTTAGAGATATGAAATTTTGTGCGTCTTCACTTACCTAAAAGTTAAATATTTCCATTGCCATTGATTGATCCCAATGATGCAGCAGAAATGAGACAAACAATACCTCATTTACCAATTGTTTTTCAACTCTACAAAAGGGCTGGTGTTTAGTTCAGAACATAATTCATTTATTACTTTTTTCAATTCCTTCACCGCTGTTCATACCTGCTCTGTAGAAATAAAATGAAAACACCTTTCTTCTCTAAGGGTGACTGCAGAGGTCCTATATGGAATATTGAGCAGTTTAAGCCCTGTTAACACTGTGCAAGATGACCTAAAATGACCTATAAAATCAGACTTTGGCCACCCATCCACACATTTTAATCAGATATATAGGCATTTTGTTTTTCTTTGGATTGCATAACATTCCAGAACAGCACACGAGCTTTTCACATTAGGGAAGTTATATTGAAATAGTTTATTCTTTAATTGCTGGCAAACACATCTGAGAGAGTGCATCTCTAAATAATAGACTCTTTTGATGTGGTAACATGATTATTTTCGAGGGCAGTTGCACAATCACATGAAACTCAATAATATTTCCTCAGAGAATTGCCTGTCAGAAAGGGAGACATCATCTTCATCCACAAACAGAGGGATCACAACTGGTATGAAGGCCAATGTAATGGAAAGAGTGGCTTAATCCCAATTTGCTACGTAGAGGTTGGAGAAAATTTAATGCATTCATTTTTTTGGAAAACAAATTTCAATAACATGCTTTACTCTATATTAAAATATTCCTGATTGCAATATTTTTTGTCAGCCTGTTTCTGACCTACAGAGAAATGAGCAAAAAGCACTTGATGAAATTGCAGTTGTTAGATTCAGATTTGCTGCCTTGACTAACATAGAACTGCCACTGGAAAAGGTAAGCTACCCATGTTGATCTAGCCTTTAACCAAAGATCTTTGATTATTTTATAAGGTTTATGGAATAAAACCTGGTATAAATGAAGGCATTAAAAATTTGGATGGAAAAATCAAAGGGAAACACCTGAAGTTGGTCTCATTAAACAGAAATATGGCAATGACTTGAAAGAAAATTAACTGCTTTGCTTTTTACAGATTCACAAAATTGCAGGAGACCATTCAGCCCATTGTGACTACACCAGCTCACTGAACAGTTTAACTTAGTGATAATCTCCTGTCCTTGCCTCAAAACTTTGTGTGTTGTTTCTATTTAAATAATAATCCAATGCCTTCTTGAATGGATCAGTTGAACCTGCCTCCACCACACTTCTGGGCAGTGCATTCTAAACCCTAAGATTTACTATGTGAGAAACCTTTTCCTGGCCCTGTGTTCACTTCAATGACATTCTTGTCGGTTTGGAGTCACATGCAGCCCAGGCAGGTAAGGATGGCAGATTTATTCCTTCAAGGGAAGTAATGTGCAGTGTAAATGTCAGTGAACTATTCATCACGAGCAAATTAACCTTCTGGGGACCTGGGTCTAAATCCCATCATAGCAGATGGTGAAACGTGAATTCAATAACACAACAATCTGTAATTGATGTGGCTAATTTAATAGTGATGTACCTACCATTGATCATCATAACAACGAATCAGTTTCAGAGATGCCCTTTAGGGAAGGAAATCTGCTGTCCTTACATGCAGTAGATGAGCAGCTACTGCCTACCCCTGGTGATGAATCCGTATTCTGCTATGTTTAACACCAATTGGAGGAAGCAATGAAAGTGGCAAGGACACAGAATGTAATCTGGGTGGGGGACTTCAATGTCCATCACAAAGAGTGGCTCAGTACCACCTCTACTGGCTGAGCTGACCCATTTCCTAAAGGACGTGGCTGTTAGCTTGTATCTGCGATAGTTGGTGAGGGAATCAATAAGAGGGACAAACTTACTTGACCTCACCCTCACCAATCTACCTGTCCCAGATGTATCTATCTAGATGACAGTATCTGTGGGAGTGACCACCTTACACAGTCTCATGGAGCCAAGGTTCCATATTCACATTGAAGATACATCCATTGTGTTGTGAGACACTACCACCATTCTAAATGGGCCAGACATTGAGCAGATCTGGCAACTGAAAACTGGACATCTATGAGATGCTGTAGGCCATCAGTAGCAGCAGAATTCCATTCAACAATAATGTGTGAACTTATGGCTTAGCATTTCCCCCACCCGACCACTATTAACATATGGCTACCAATACACTACAGCTCTGCCAGCCTGTCCTCCATTTCTAGCCACACCATGCATACAGATATATTATTCCTTAATTACAGTTAGAAACACCCCAGACCATCTCACACAGGCATCCCAATTGTGACAATGTATCCCTGGTCAATTGTGAAAAGATGAGACATTATGCATGCATGTGGTCAAATTGTAATTAGATTTAAGTTAAACTGTTAAATGACCATTAGGTTTTCACTGCTTAACTTGTGAAACAAGTAGTAGCTAAACATGGGCTCCATACTTTGAGGGAAATGTCATGGTTGTAATGGCAGCTTGAATTACAATGTTGTATCCAATACCAATCCAGCTTAGTGGTTTTGCCTACTTGAATATGAGTATATTTTACTAAAATACAGCGGGTCACTTCTGTGCAGTGCTCTTCTTCACAGGATGGATTTAAATACAGAGATGTTAAATTGCCTAGGATGTGCTTACAGCCAGTCACAAGGAAATTAGGAAGAAAGAGAATATTACTTTGGCTATAACTGCCATGAATCAAGTTACTGAAATATGTTATAAAGGTCCATGTATTGTACTACAGCTTTAACTAATAATGATTTATTTCAGGACCAATCAGTAGTTCTGCTCAGGAGAATAGATGAGAACTGGTATGAAGGAAAGTATCCAGGGACAAATCGGAAAGGGATATTTCCTGTCACATATGTTGAAGTCGTTGGTAAATCAACCAATGAGTCTGTCTTCCCCCAACATCTGCCAACATCTGGGAGCGATATGAAAATAAAAATGGCTTCCCAGAGGTCTTTTCAACAGGTAAGTTAGCACAGGGAATGATTTTACTTGATTTTCAGGACATTAATTGAAATAAAAGACAGAGTGTGATTCTGACAAGAGGCACTTTATTACCTTCCAGTGCTGTTGTACCTATACACCACAGATAAAGTAAGATTAAAATTTCAGATAAGGTTGAGGCAGCATTAGTATCACTGAACATCAGATCACTGACAGACAGCATTATAGGAAGCAGGGAGAAGATGATTCAATCCTCACACCCACACACCCACCTCCCTTCACAAACTGTTGAGCCCTCCTTCATTGCTAGACCAATTGATCTGAATTACATCACATTGTCAATGAAGAGCACTGTGTATTCCTGTTGGGTGGAACAACAAATTAGATGAGATCATTACATCTAGATTACTGTTGTATGCTGCTAGCTAGATAAAATACGTATTTGTACAAATCTGGAATAAAGCCATCCAGGCCACCCAGCTTATCATGGAAGACGTTGGTGAGATTTTGGAAATATTAAGGAAAAGAATTGAGGTGTACACCCTTCAGTGGAGAGTAGAAACATTTCTTTCCAAACAAAAATTGAGGACACAAATGTGAGTAACACACATTTATGCAAGTGATGGTAAATATCATAACACTAAGTGCCATGTAGGTAGGTATGAGTGCCAAACATTTGAGGTTATGCAACTTTATTTATATTTTTACCTCTTAGTGTTTTGTGAACGAGAGCTTGCAATACCAGATGGGGCATTATTTATCATGGTGTTTGAATTTATCATTGCAACTTTAATTTGGCAATGTTTTTATACCATTTGCATAATATTGTACAGTTCATTTGAAAGATATAAGACACGGTATATGCGGAAGTTCTCCCTTTTTGAAATGTTATGGTAATTTGAAAGAATGCTTTTGAGACTAGCCTGTTAAAAACATAATTCAGCATTTAATTTCGGTGTCATGCCTTCTATAGTTACTTTCTGAGACTATTAGCCCAAAGGTTGTTGGATTTCCATTTCCTTTGTTACTCTCTCATTTTCTGAGTCTCTAACATCCCATTTATTAATGGCTAATCCATTTTTTTTTTGCACTGCAGCTAATTTTGCCATTTCAATAACATCTATCATTCTATCACAGATTCCCTTCAATAAGTCGAGTTTGGCAACAGGTGTCAAGCTGCTGCTGTCTTGTGCTTGTAGATTAGGCCTTTTCATTATTCAGCAGAGTGTTACGTTTTCAACTGTACTTTTGATATCTGTCAATACCGCCACAATGAAAAGACAACTAAATAATTCAGGAGTATACCTTTACTGCCAGTATCTAGTCCCACAATAATGTGTATTCGAATCAAAAAAATGCAACTCCTTGTTGTTAAAAGCAAATAAGTGTAATCCCCCTTCACTTGGCAAATGTTTCAACAGACAATTTAATGAATATTTTGGTGTGACTACATTAATTATAAATGATTTAGTTTATTTATTTGACAAGCAATACATGAATTAATCGAGCAATATCTTAAAGTTACCCTCACACAATTTCAACTTATTTTCATACCATTCCGCACAATGTAGAAAATAACATTTTCTACACTTCAGAATACATGCCAGCAATATCCAAGTGAGGAGTTAGTGGATCTTGGAGGTGAGTGCCTTCCCATCTCTCTCTTTGAACCAGTATAATAGCTTACAGAAACTTCCCTATATAGTGCTCCTCCATCCTTCCTCAACAAGGCTTCTGATTACTTCATGCCTCACTCACCCTCCTCCTCCCACACAAAGCTTCATATTTCCCCCTCTCATGAGGCCTTGGATTTCTTCAAACATACCTCCTTGCTTCCAACCTTACTCCGTGCTCACCATAGACCAGCAATTCCCCTCACAGGCACCTGCTCTCCCAACTTCAAGTTTCTGATCTTGGCAGAAGAGTCCACTTCTGTCTGAGTCCACAAATCTCTGATATACACCTCTATGACACCATCCTCTCCTCCCACCCAGCTCTCAAAAATCCCCCTCAACACCACCAGGCTTCTCCCTACACCTCAGGGCCCCTGATCTTCCACAGTATTCTCACCCTCAAGCCTGCCTCCCTAGTGACCTTCACCCCTATTAAAGTCTCTGATATCTTCTGCAAGAACTTATCTCCCTCCACCTGGTTTCCAAACTGCCCTTCCCCAATCTCAACCTTTCGATCAACTGGGGATGGACAATAATTCTGGTTTAGCCAGTGACGCTCACACTCTGACATGCTTATTCTGGAGCCAGACCTGCTTTCATGGCAACTTAAAGATGAAAGGTTTTGAAAGGGAATTCCAAAAATCCTTGTCCACCCCTCCCACCCCACCCCGTGCAACATATTCCCCCACCCCAAACAGCTGCTTTAACGCTATAATGTTTCAGCTCTCAACCAAACATGCATAATGAAGCTTGACCCAGAAGCCAGGCAACCATTACAAAGGTTGAGCTGTGCTTAATTGACAGCTCTGGGCCTTTGATCTTCATCACTTTCACAATATTTGTTTACAAAAGGTTAACTGGTTTCAAGAGCCTTACCCTTCAGGTCTTGAAACTTAAAAGAGTTTGGATAATTGATGCTTTTCTTGCCTGCAGTAGAAAGGGGTTTTATTTTAGCGTTGTAAAGAGTTATGAATGAATCACTTCTTTAAGAGCTTTACTTTTCACACAAACAAATGCCACTATAGAGTTCACTGGTTTTACACATTGGATAATGTGGGATCATTTAGCTCTGTCGATTATATGCTGCTTCCACTATTTACCATGCAAGTAATTCTCTTATGTATTTTCACCAGGCTCAGTTTTATGTATGCCTATAGTGGGCATGTTAAGTACATAACTTGCCAAGGGGGCATCAGGAACCAAAGTGGGATTTCTGTTTTGGGGTACAATGGGGCATGGATAGAGCATGGGGAGCTTGTGTGCGGGGGCTGATAGCCATTCTGTTTTAATTGCAGCTGTGATTAAGCCCCACAGTATCGGGAAAAGCCTTATAAAAAGCCCATCTCTACAGACATCAGGTCATGTGGTTGTGGCCAATTTTTTTTTCTGGGATTGGTTGGCCCAAATTCAGCCAACACCCACCCCAGCAGTAATATTCACACCTCTGGAGCTGGTAATTCTTGAGATTGAATTTTCCTGACTTCCACTATCCACCTTGAGGAAAACGCATGCCTCCATCTTTGCTATGGTCTGGGTACACCCATGGATGAATGAAGATATGCATGGGGATGGATAGGGGGGAGGAAAGCTGCAAATGGAGAGCTACAAGAGTTGAAAGCAAAGACTGCAAGGTGTGGTAAAGGGAAGCTTCACATTTGTGGTTGGAGTTAGGCTGCAAGACTGGTGCAGAGGGAGATAACAAGAGCAGGGAGAGGGAGGCTGCAGCAGGTGAGTTTTACAGGCAAGACGTACAAAGGGTAGAGGCAGGAAGGTTGCAAGCAGAGGGGAGGGAGATTGCATTGTGGTGGAGAGGATGAGTGGGAAAGGTGATGTGAGGGAGCCAGCAGGGGATGGTGGACAAAGGAATGCTGCAAAATGGCGAGAATCTGTTTAAACCAGTCAAAGGAATAGTCAGCTAAATAAGAGGCAGGAAAACATAAAATCAATGAGGTGATCAATTCCTTGCAAATGAATTGGGACTCTCTCTCACAGTAAGGCTGCATAAGTTCAAGAACTACCACATGTGGAAAAGTATCATGGTTGCCCTCATCATGAACAGTATGCTAATTGTTAAAATCAAATCCGAAATTAAAACCTAAGGTAACTGCCCACTGAAATCTTTCAGGTTTGTGTATATGTGCTGGAAACACATTAGCTGTAAACTCACCAGTCCATGGAAGGCATTTTTGGGTGATGGCTTTTTGTGTGTAGATGTGTCAGTTACTTTGGAAAAAAATTTTTTTGCTAAATTATGTTTGGCATCTTATGGCAATTTAAATTCTGTGGTGCCGAGGAAATGGATACTCTCCTTGAGTGTTATGACTTTAAGTTTAATGAAGGGATAATAATTGTTGAAGATGTTGATAAATTCTTTTCATTCTATTTCTGTACGAGTCCAAACACCTCCTATATCAAAACAAACACAGAAGTGTTGTTACTATGTGACTGCATTACCAAATAAATGTGTTAGTAAAATGAAAGAAAGGCACTTACAAACTAATAATAAGTGCCCAAATATCAAAAACACAGACTAGCAATTAAGAAAATATCAAAAACACAGACTAGCAATTGAGGTCTTTAAAGATATATATTTTGAACCTGTTGGATATGACAAAGATTTTAAAGCCTGACAACATTCTGACAATAGTACTGAAGAATTTTACTCCAGAAACAACCGCACCCTTGGTCAAGCTGTTTCAGTACAGCTACAATACTGGCTTCTGCCCAATAATGTCAAAAATTTTCCAGGCATGTTTTCTCCAAAAAAAACATCAGCATAAGTCTAGCCCATCAATTCCCAACCGATCAGCCTTCTCTTGATTATCAGCAAGGTGGTGGTAGCTATTGTTGAGTTGCACTTGCTCAGCAATAACCTGCTCACTGAAGCTCAATTTGAGTTTCACAAGAGACACTCAGTTCCTGAACCCATTACAGCCTTGCTCCACACACGGACACAAGAACTGAGCTCCAGAGGTTAGCTGAAAGTAGCTGCTCTTAACATCAAGGCAACACTGGACCAAGTATGGCATCAAAGACCCCTAGTAAAACTGGAGTTAACAGAAATCAGAGGGAAAATTCTGCACTTATTGGAGTCATATTTAGCATTAAGGAATGTGATTGTGATGATCAGAGAACAATGATCTCAGTCTCAGGACATTGGTGTGAAGTTTCTCAAGGTAATGTCCAAACTAAAATTATTCTCAAATTCTTCAGCAATGTCCTTCCTTCCATCATAATGTTAGAATGGGGATATTTGATGGTGGTTGCATAACGTTCAAGACCAATCACAACACCTCAGATTTTGAAACAGACTGAAGTAACATTCACACTACACAAACATCAGACTAT